CGCGAACCCTTACTTTGGCCTGCAAGTACACTTAGGGTTGCCGCAGCTTGGGACGGTAGTCGGCTCTGTAGTGCCAGTGGACTACAGAAATCATAATTCAACAGAAGAGCTCATCGAAAGCGGGCAGGACAAAGACGTACCGGTGATGACATGGTGTTTACAAACGGTGCTACACAAGTACATGGGCGAGCGCGGCCAAATTTATAGCGTATCGACGAAGAGACCCCAAGCGCCGTTCCACAGATTTGAAATCCAGTTGGCGCGCCCAAAGATCTGAGACCCCACAAACATTGCACGGCAACGACGTCACTGGTTCTGCGCCGATCGTCATGCATCATGCCCTGAAGTTGACAATCGCTGAGCTCCGGAAGGGGGACTGCGGACACTGTCAGGATAAACGCAACACCCAGATACGTAGAAGTTAAGATTTTGGATATTTACCATTTCCCCATGATCCTGATACGATGCAGTCCCTACTCGGGTACGGAACATTTTCTTGGGCGTAAACTGCGATTACTTTCGTGCCAGGACTTTGAGTAAGATACAAGTTGCTCAAGCTAAACGTACATAAAGTAGAACGAGGAGACCGGAAAAGCCTCACGCCAACCTCCTGGCATGATCATTGACTTGCTCTTTCATAAATTTTTCGAGCTTTGCTGCGTGCTTCACGTAAACGGAACCTTCTGGGTTGTAAAGTCGGCAGTTGTCGAATATCAACTGGGTGTCGTCGATAAATGCTTTTATGTTCGAATATTGATTCGTATTGAGTTTATGCTCCATCGTGCTGAAATCTATAAAGAGGTCGGAACAAGCCGAAGGGATCCTAACGATGCAGCTCACTAACCCATAGGTCTCTTGATGACGTCGTAATAATCGACGACCTCCTCTCCATTAACAGGATTCAAGAATGCCCATGCGCTCGGATGAGCTTTTAGGTCTCCGAGAAGTCGGTGTATAAAGTTCTGTTCGGCGCTTCTTGGAGTTGAGGACAGGCTGAGTCAAAAATGGGGTGATTAACAGGCACATCACCATTCAGTTGGAAACGCACTATGAAGCCATGCCAGGGGTCCATCCACTCTCTCCTACGGTAGATGTAGTCAGGGTCAAACAGCTGGGAGCAACGGAGAATACTCACGAAGCCCTGGAACGTCCTTAGGATCTACGGTTACACCTTCCGGTGCACCCTCCTGAAATTGCGGCAAGCCCTGGTATATGACATGCGACTTCGACTTCTCGCGAATCTTCGCGACGACCGCACCACGCTGTTTCGCAATGATGTTCGCCTTGTCCAGGTAGTTGACCTTGCGCAGCATAGTGCATTGCATGATAGTACCCCCTTCGTAGTCTTTTATGTACCCAGCCCATACCGATCGATCCAAAGTAATATCCTTCGAAAAGCCCTGCTTTTTGAAAAAAATGACGGCAAAATTGTCTGCATAGGTAAGGAAGTGCATGATGTTGGGATAGGTGTTCCGGATGTGAGCCTTGAAATGATCCATGAGCATGCCTCCGTATCCCTGGAATTGGTGAGTGCGCGGGCGAAGAGATAAGTGACACTAGGTATACCTTGACTTGGTCTACTGACGCCGTCGCGAAAAAGACTATCTCCGCGAAACCTCGATGAGGGAACGGACGGTAGCAAATGCCACCGACCACCTTGTACCCCCGTTTTATTATTGCTAGCGCCTTGGAGTTCCTGTCGTACACCAAACGAGCTATATATTCTCGAGGCATCATTGGTAGTTGCGTGCGGAAAAGAGTCTTTAAACCAGTCAAAATGACCAGTGAACGAGGGGATCCATCATTCTCCACCGCGGTTATTTGGATTATGCCCTTGCGCAACTCGACAAAGGCAGCCTTCTCTGTCTTCGTTGGGGGCTTCATGCCAATTCAGCCAGATGCAAAGCAACAAAAGTGGGTTACTTACCGCAGCAGATGCTGAAGGCCCAGCATCGACAGTTACGCCAGTCGCCAGCCGAGTCAGCTGAGACTCATCCATCTTCTCCTCTATTTTGACCTTTGCGCCTGAAACGTGGCCATTCACGCAGGCACCATCAGGCTTGACGTCATCCGTAGCAGAGGGAGCTGTCTGCGACTTGGACTTCATGCTCGACGTCTTCTTTCCGCTTCTCTGGGTAGTTCGTACAGGTGTATCAGACGCCAACCCAACTTGGGCTGCCAGTGGTTTATCGTCCTCTTCATCCTCGTCCGCGTCACTCAGTGGGGAGAGAGAAAGACGACGCCTCTTAACGGGAGGTTCTTCAGCCGAAATTGAGGGTGTAGAAGACGGAGCTCGTGTGGAACGATCTGTACGATGGTAGTAAGACATGAAGGTAGCTGGAAAGGGGCTGAACCCGCCTTACCTAGGGAAGTAGGGGACATGGTAATCAAGGATACTGGTAATTTTATTTGCTGCCTCAACGAGAGCATGTTGCCGTCAGTGTATTCAAAATCCAACAGCCTGTCCACGTCCTGCGATTGCGAACCACGATGTCCAAATGAACGCCAGCGCGAGGCCGTGAGCTATTGAGGATCTAAATATCTGAACACGGGCAGGCGCATACCTGTAGCATTTCATCCAGACGGATAGCCAGACGACCTCGGCGGGAGAACTCCTCCCTACCCAATGTCGCCTCGTCGGCTCCGTGCTCGCGAACGCCATGTCCACAGAGGCACGTTTCAAGATATGAAGGCTCGTCCTCGTCCGACCCGTACTGATTCAGGTCACCGAGTGACGAGCTATGACAAGAGTGGTCGCCTAAGACCAGCGCGATGCCAGACGGAGGTCGTAGGCCTTGACAGGAATCACATGCGGAGCAGGGCGTATGACGGGCAATCCTGAGGGCCAGCACTGCGTCATTGTACGGCGCGTCGTTTGGCAACGGGTATGACAACTTCATTGTTGTTGGAGCAACTGCACTCTATTGTCATCGACGCATGAGTTGTCCCTTGACAATGAGCTGTGCGGTACAGCGCTGCCAGGAAGACTAATACTTGGCCCGGGACCCCTTACACCTCTGAGATCTGGCGCTGCCCTCGTCCTAAAATGTTTTTATATCGCAGTACACTACTGCCTGCCCACCGCTCGTTTGTTCTGTCAGCCCTACTGTCTTTGCTCTCGTTCGCTTTAGCCTCAGACTGGATACAATACCCATCCAACGGATATGCCACCATGACCCACTACACCCTTCCCGAGGGTTTCATCGCAGCGTGTGGGTGCGCGATCAACAGCACGCTGTACCCAACCGCTGCCATGAACCAGATGGCGTACGGAAGTAGCACATCGTATGGCCCTGCCTGTGGGCAATGCTTCAACCTGACCTTGTTGGACGCGTTCACAGCCAGTCCCCCATTTCACCCAAACACCACAAATTCTGTGGTCGTGAAAATCACTGATTTGTGCCCATACGCGGAACAGGGATGGTGCAATGCGACTACTTCTAGGCCAAATGCGTAAGTACGATAACCATGCTGTCATACCCCACGGCGCGGCATGATGAGTTAACTCTCTTGCAGTGGTGGCGAATACCTCAACTTCGATTTATCGTGGCCGTCTGCATCGATATCAAGTACATTCTTTCCGTCGGACGCTTCATACTATGGTAAGTCATTTGCATGACTCGGCGCACGATTGCATTGTTGACAGAGACCCAGGTTACTCAGTGAGTCACTTTTTAAAAATTGTCTAGGGTGACATTTCACAACGATTCCCCAAACAGGACTTTGGTGTATGGAACATAAGCTATCGGAGCGTTTCGTGTGAATATTGGGAAGGCTGGAATAATTCAGCTGCACTCGGAAGCGTAGCCAATCTGGGCTATGTCTCATGTTGTCCCGATAATCCAATGGTGTGTGGATTGGGGAAGCCGCTGCACTTCCGAAGAGTTGACCTAGTATCCTTAGCTCAACTCGAACGATACTTGTCCATCCTACTCTGACCAAGCAGGAATATCGTTCGTGCCCTCTCATTGTGCGGAGGGCAAATCGCTGACCACGAAATGGCCATTATTAGGCCATACTTCCATGCTGGGTCCGCGGTTACAATCGTGCCTATGCTTCTGTCACCGATATTACCCATACTGCTGTCTGTATGCATGTTGTAATTCTCTCGAGTCCTACATTAGACATCATGTACTAGTGTCAGTGGGCGCTGTACCGTTCTTCTCACCGATACCTGTGTCATTGCATACCGGATCTACTCCAGAGATAATCTGGCTTCCACGAAATACAACGTGACCAATATCACGAGCGAAGTGGGGAGGCGGACGGGGAACTGGTCCCTTGTGCCGTCGACGGCCTTGGTGAGATTTAGCTGCCGCGATTCCCGTTGCAGGCTGGTTTGTGCATGAGACTCCCGTGTCGTTGTCAGGTAGAACAGGCGGAGCCGGTATGCGACGTTCCGACTGGCAAACATGACATACATAGGAAACGAGGTGGCCGTGTGAAGCCGAATCTGCTGACAGTGAGCAGGATTCAGTATTGGATACAAGTCACCCACTTTTGACCCGGACCGTAGCGGAAATGCCTGGCACAAGTACCGAGCTGCAGCTTTTGCACAAACTGCGCTTGACGGAGGGGTCTCTTAAAGAAAGAGATCACAATGAGATGTGTGCAGACGTTGGATGGGAATGTGGGATGGAAAACACGAACATCTTCGTGTTAGTTTTCTGCCCGACGATCTTCATTGTATCTATATAGCTCCTTGAGAGTTCAGAAGTTGTGACAACTCTGTTGCGCTTTGGCTCATGTCGTGCGTCTGGGCTGCATGTCACCGATGTGTGCGGAGGGGAAGGATGCGATATGGTGCCGAGTAGGGTGCTGGCTTGGTACAAAAAGTTGAGACGTTGGATGATATCCTTGTTGCTGATATGGTTGGGATTTGGGACATCGTCGCGCCTGCCCTTGTTCTTGACCATCGTTGATAGTCCAGCCCTGTCCAATCTTCCCGGGACCACATGGTTGGCAGCTGTCATTTAATCAAAAGGGGCCATGTACCTCAACCGACCTTAGCTCAGTTGGAAGAGCGCGAGACTGTAATGGATAAACTTGCCATCTTGAGGTCGCCTGTTCGAGCCAGGCAGGTCGGACTGTCTTTTTGGTCTGAGGCAACACATATATGAGCGGGGATACACTGCAGTACTATTCGATATTACATCTAGCAACACATCTCTACAACACAGCACCCAATTCCCATGTAGTGGATGGCGACCACGGGCTGTGCTCGATCCGTAGGTGTGTTCATGCTGAGAGCCAGTCCAAGAATTCCGGAGTGAAGTAAGAAAGTATGATGCCAGCACCTTACGATGGAATACTCAGCAATGGAAATGATCGCAAGGGCAGTGAATCTTACCAGCCCTGACCATACTCTCCGCGGCTTCGAAGGCCATGGTTTTTAATTCATAGACGCCAGCTTTCGCACCTGCATGGATCATAGCAAATTCGCCGCTGACCTGGTAACATGCGATAGGGTGGTCCGGTGCAAGTTCTGCAGCATCTGCAATGACATCGAGGTACGGGAGTGCTGGTTTGACCATGATGATATCAGCACCCTCTGTTGCGTCACGCAGCTGTAGGCATTTCCTTAAGCACTGTTCTCCACACAAATCCTATTTGCCTTACTATAGCGCGTTTCGCCAATCCTTTTGCTGCGGGAGGAAGCTGGTAGCATTTGCGGTCACCAAACGCAGGAGCACTCCCGGCTGCATCTCTAAGCGCTCTGTTGGAAACCTTGAAACACGGGAATGACTAGGGTGACTGACCTAAACGGTCCATACAGAGAACTGGCGAACTTGGCTGAATAACTCATGAGAGTGCATTTGTTCCCAAGCCCAGCATCGATCAGCTTGCGCTTGATAGCCGCGACGCGCCCATCCATCATATCACTCGGTGCAACGCAGTGCGCGCCAGCAAGGGCGTAGTTCAACGCAACCTCTGCGAGGCGCTCGACAGAAGGTTCGGTGTTGATGGTCCCATCCTGGTGAAGCAATCCGCAATGTCCGTGGGAGGTGTACTCGCACAAGCAAACGTCGCACGCAATATAAAGCAAGGGAAATAGCGTTTTAAGTCTTTTGATGGCTTGTATGACTGGTCCAGAGGGGTCGTCTGCAGGAGTACCTCTGCCATCCTGGTAACAGTGAGGCAGCCGAACATGGGCCTGTAAAACCGCACACACCTTCTCGCACTTGAACGGAACCCCAAACAATATAACGCTTGCAAGACCCTTCTGCACTAGAGGACCAAGGAATTCCTCGAGGCGGTTCACCCCCCAACGTCGCTGGCCGGGCAGAGTCGGTATCTCGACGCTAGCGTTGGGATCGTCCGTAATAAATATGGGGTACATGAACATGGATTTAGTGAGTTGACGGCGGCTCTGCCATGCCCGGGAGAGTGGGTGTTGGTAACCGCCCTGGAGAATAGAACTATGGGAGGTGTGTTAGGCAACTTGGTGGACACCTGGGAATGGGTTAGTCTGCTCACGATATTTCCATGGTTTGGGGAGTGTTCGAAGAGACGAGCAGGGGACTCGTCGGAACTTATAATCCGGGGCTGTTACTAGCTGGGCGGCGCTACGTAGTAGGTTGATGCATCAGTGGCGCGTTTCGTTTCTTCGGGTCGTTGGCCAGGGTGCCATCAATGAAATATGTAATCCATTTGAGAAGTCCATGTCTTGCGAATAGACGAAGTCCTTTAGGGCCCGTTCGCTCTTAAACTGTGCACTCTAGGACTTCACCTCTGTTCTCCAGCCTTATGGTCCTTGGAGGGCTGGTTTCTCAGGTGTGTACGTCTTCCTCTCACTCTTCCTCGATGTATCGACGTGGCAGATATAGTGACCATACTCTCGGGTCCGGAGACCCTTGCGTTTTTACCCGTCTCACTTGACTTCAAAGGGATGGCATTGCACCAGTACAAGTGACATCCTCGGAAACCGCTGGTTTAAAATCACTGCCAGCTGAAAGGTCCTCACATTTTCTGCTAGGACCTCTTGCGAATGCAATCGAGAGCCATCTGTAATCGTATTAACGGTGTCGGCTGTGGAAGGATTGACTCGCGACTTTCAGCACACAGTTTCTGGCACGGATGTGCGATCAAGAAGGCTAGACGCGCGCACTTGCGTCAACGGTTTTTAGGTCGTTTAGTTGTGGTTGTCATGCCAGGTTGGTCTGGTCTAGGTAATCTTGGACGACTGTGTGGTGTTTCTCTACGTTGTGGTTGTCCACGTTGGCTTTGTATCACGAAAATTACCCAGTCCGTGTTTGCCACCTGCTCCCGATACTTCCCAAAGAAGTGCATGATTTCATTGGTATGTATCTTCGGTCCGCGTCTCTCTTGGGTTATATGTTTTCGATATAACCAAGCCACAGACATTTCTGGCTGAGTTTGCTCACTAAGGGGACGCCGTTGTGCGACAACAGGATACATCTGAGGCGTCCCTGTGGACCATCGCTGTGTTCTCTGGCGGGGACTTTTCAAAGGCCACATGGCTCGTGTCCTCTGTAAAGACAAAAACATTCGTGCATCCATTCCCCTGTTTCACATCTGTTGTCATCACAATTGACTCTCATTGGAAATGTGAGTCAACGGCACAGGGGCTTTGGGTCTCCATGAATTACGGAACTGCGAGTGTTAGGGTTAATCACAAGTGTAGGTGAGTCCCTTGATGTGATGGCCATTCGTGAACTTCGTCGGAAGATCAGCACGCTGTGGCTGTGTCAATGGTCTACCGCGAGGAGGAACAGCAACCATGAAGATGATGCGACTTCTCCCCGTAGTTGACCCCAGTTGTGCATTCTGATCGTCTTACAGTTCCCCTCTGCATCGTAGTGTGCGGAATCTTGTTGAATGCGGACCAGACACTCGTTCGGTGTTGTCCGCCTTTGCCTATGGAACCACACTCTTCCAACACTACTCCCAACTGTTGGTGTCCTAAACCATATGTGAGACTCATCTCTGTTCTTCGTTGTTACGTAGAGTTATGGGGGAGAACTCTTGCGTTTGCAACTTATTCTAGTTCGTGATCGTCCGCGCAGGTCCCCCTCGGTACCTTCCGGAGAAATGCACGGTATTGTAGTTGCTGCAGGTATGGCTTGTGTTCACGGGTCAACTGGTATCATGCTTCTTCCATAACCTCCGTGCCGTCTTACTATATGTCACGTACGGCACAGGGGCATGGGCCTCTGTGGATTACGGAACTGCTATATTATGAGTGTCAACAGTATACAGGGTCAATCACGGATACTTACAGATGACTCCCTCAGGGTGACTTTGGACCTTTCAATGGTCGACTGACCACTCGCTTGGAAGTACTATTTTTATTCGAAATCAGTGCCTGCGGTGTTCGTGATGTCGCGTAAGGGAGTGGCACGGTGCGCGATGGGAGTGGCATGTAGCTTTTCGCGCATTGATTGGTTATTGTGGGATATACAAGTACTGGTCGAGATGGCATGGCAACTATTAGGACGCCGTGAGTCCAAACGCATCAACGCAAGTAAGTGATCATTGTTCGACATGTCGGGGAGGTCACGGCAATCCGCAGGCGTCGTCGCAATGACAGCTGAGACGGCGTCAACGACTGGACCGTTGCAGGGTTTGGTAATCACGTACTGTCGAGTTGACAGAAGAGCCAGTGGTGGACCACCGCTGGTCAAAGCATGGATTTTTTTATTTTTTATTTTTATTTTTGGGACGCAAGTCATTGTCGGTAAAAATAAAAGCATCCGAGGATGGCGCGGTCACGTGATCGTTGTTGAGTGAATGTCCCACGGGTGTTGGTTAAACAGAGCTTAACTTGGCCGCCGCTAATTTTACCCGCCCTGCCCGCTTGCAAGTTGCCCGTGCTCACGACAACAACAACAACGAACGACGACGACGACGACAACGACGAGAACGAAGATAATAAACTGGCACACAGCCAGCGAGAAGGCCCATCCATACGCTCCATATCTATCTCTCTGGACAGGCCATGTATGTTTCTACCGAGTACATATCTGTAAGAGGAAACAACACACGCGACTGCAACATGTCCCCGATATCCCCCAGCAGCTGCCGTGCAGTTGTTTATCACACACCCACCCCTCCCCGTCTATCTACTGCTACTAGCTCTGCTGATCCATCCTCCTCACCCATGTTGACTTCCTCACTGCCCCCACTCTTCAAAGCATCCCACGACAACGACAACATCTTCCTTCAATCGCCTTTCAGGTCTCCTCACCCAGCACATACTCTATACCCACATCATCGTACTCATAAACAACCATCCCTGCCCATCGACGTAGATGACGACGACGAGGGCAGTATATTTCTTTCTTCGTCATCCGCAGCTCCCTCTCCATTCTTCCCCGCTCCGTCCTCTAACTCTCTTCGCACACCCGTCAGAGACGCCCCTGCCATCTCTCGTTCCATCCTCAAGACAAGGGCTCTCAACGCCCAACCTGCTGCATCCGCATCGCAACCCTCCGCCCTCCGAGCCGGTCTTGGTACGAAACGGAAATCCTCAGGCCAGCTGGGAGGGTTCTCGACTCCCCCACGGCAACCTGTCTCAACACCGTTGTCCATATCTGCAGCAAAGGCTGATCCCGCATCCGGCGTCGCCTTCCATCGCCTCGCCCCGCTCGCCGCTCCCCGTTTCGGTATCCGCACGCCGCAGTCCAAAGCAGAGACGGATGCTTACGTCAAGAACCAGGCAGAGACGATGAAACGTCTCCGCATCCGGGACATGGACAACTCAGACGAAGACTGGGGCGTCATCGAATCCGGTGACTCGGACTCCGGGTGTGACGATCCAGGTACACGGAAAAATCTGTTTTCAAACAGACTTCGGACACTGGCACAGAGAACAAAATCCCAGTCGACGAGCCCTAAAAAGCAGCTGCTCGTCGACGCAGTCCCTCAAAAAGGCAACGCAAGGGATGAGGTGACTGAGGCAATATCGCCCGGTGGGCACATCATCAAGCGTCGTGCCCGCTCACGACCTGTGTCGCAAGAACTCTTAGAGAGTGTGCACCACTCTTCGTCTCCGCCCACTTCAGCTCAGGTATGTCACCTCCATCTCTGTAGTAACCCTTGGGCTCTTAATCATGACGTTAGCCTG